TGCAAAGGGAAGCCTCTGAATTTTTTTCTTTATTTTTATTCCATTCTGATTTATTTTGCTTTATTTTTTCTCCTTTCTATTTGGATCCTGTTTTTTTTTTTTAAATGTACATCAGTGGACTATTTCTTTTTCCTTTTTCAATTGAGGTTTTTTTCTTTTTTTTTTTTTTTTTTGCTGGACTAAGGTGTGGAATTTGAAGAAATTTATTTTTCTTGGTTTTTGCTTTGTTTTTTTTTTCTCTTTTTCTTTTTTCCTTTTTCTTTTTTGGCTTTGTCTTGTTCATTATTATTATCACTGGGTTTTTACTCTTATTTTTACTCTCTTTTATGGATTATTTTTCTTAATTGGATTAAGGTCAGGAAGAATTTTTCTTCTTTTTCTCTCATTATTGGCTTTTTTATTGTTGGCCCTTTTATCTTGGATTATAACTTCATACTTTTTTTTTTGGATTAAAATTTGAAAGAATTTGAAGAGCTGGAACCACCTAAAATGAGTAAGAAATTTATATCTTCGGGTGCCTCTATGTCTGCTTCTGCCTCCCCACCATCTGGACAGCGCTCAATTCAGACATTGTTAAAGCAAGATAAAGAAAAAGAACAAGAAAGAGTATCCTTTCAGATGATTATGCAAGGAATTCAAGATCTTAAGGTAAAAATAGATACTATTGAACAAAGAACAGGTAGGATGGAGGAAAAAGTGGAAAGTATCCAACAGATGATGGGAAAATATGAGGAGAGACTTCAAAAAGTTGAAGAGGGGGGCAAACAAAGAGAGGAGAAGATTGGAAATATTGATAATAGATTAACAGTGATTGAACAAGAAAAAAGTGAGATGTTGAAGTGGGAGTTGGATAGATCAGAATTTTATCTCAGATTTCAAAATATAGAAGAAGAAAAAGGACAAGATCTGGCTGCGATAATGGTAGGAATTTTGGCGGATGCGCTGGAGATAACAGAAGAGAAGATGATGGATGGAATAGATGAGATATATCGAGTTTTTACAAGATATGCGATGAGAAATAACCTACCCAGAGAAGTTCATATTAGATTTACTAAAAAATCTATGAAGACACAAGTATTACAAGTGGCAAGAGAGAAGACATTGAAATACAAAGGTAAAGAAATTTTGGTTTTAAAACAAATACCTAGAAGAGTGAGAGAGATGAGAAGAGAATATCGATTCCTGACCAAAAGGTTATTGGAAAAAGAGGTGTCTTACAGATGGTTGATCCCAGAAGGATTGATGTTTACGTGGCAGGAACAGAGACATAGAATTGATTCAATTGAGAAAGCAGAACTGTTTTATGCAGAAGTTTTTGGAGGGAGAGAAGGAGGGGCAGGAAAGGAGGTTCCACCAATTGAATCCCAAGAGGAACAAATGGAGATTGGAAAAGAAGAAGGTGCAGTAGGTGGACAAGTGGATATTAAAGATCAACGTGAAGCAAGACCCACGAGAGTGGTTAAATCTAAATATAAAACATAATCATGGAAGAGAAAAAACTGATTACAATGAATATAAATGGACTGAATTCAGCTGCTAAGAGAAGGAAGATTTTCCATAAATTAATGAAACTAAAGTTTGACATAATTTGCTTACAAGAAGTTCATATTAAAAAGCAACATGAACAATTGTTATCACAACCAAAATTAGGGAAATTGTTTACCTCTTTGACCCAATCTAAGAAAAGAGGGGTGGTCTTATATATTAAAGAGGCCATCCCAGCAAAAATGATTTATACAGATGATGATGGGAGAATATTAATGGTAGAAATAATGGACAATAATAGAAAGATACTTTTGACTGCAATTTATGCTCCGAATGATAAACAGGAAGAATTCTATAAAAAACTACATACTAAGATGGCTGAACTGGATTATGCTAATATAATTATGATGGGAGACTTTAATGGAATTGTGGATAATAAACTTGATTATATTGCAACAGCAGTAAAACGTAATAGAAAAACTCTTCCTAAATCCTTTTTTAAAATGATAGATGAATTAACTTTAAAAGACATATGGAGAGAAAGAAATAATAAACTTAAGCAATTTATGTTTTATTCAAATAGGCATCTATCATGGTCCAGACTGGATATGATTTGGATCTCAACAGATTTAATGTCTAGTATTCAAGAAGTAAATATTGAAACAAGTACTCGGGCTGACCACAACCCATTGACAATTAAATGGAAGGGACAAAGGAAAAGATCGAGATGGACATTAAATAATACTATTTTAAAGGATAAGGAATTTATACAATGGATGGAGAAAGAATTGCCCTTTTTCTTTAAAGAGAATAGAAAAGAAGACACTTCAATACAGAATGTTTGGGACACAATGAAGGCTTATGCTAGAGGCTTGATAATAGACTATACAAGAAAAAAGAATATTAGGAAAAGGCAAACTCTTAAAGCCTTGGATGATGAATATAAAAGACTTGAAAAAGAATTACAGAAAATACCACACAGAAAAGATGTCAAACTGAAACTGGATATAACTAAACATTGTTATTGCATCTCGTACAACGAAATTAAATGCCATCTTCAGTGCATGTTATAACTATAAAAATAAAACATAGACACATATCCTTCCATTCTATACAATTGAATTGAAAACCCCTGAAATTGCATTAATATTGCACTATACAGGAGAATTCATAGAGTTACTGCCCTGGGATAGAAGTTGTTTTTCAGCCTATTTGTCCTTGTTTTTATTTTCCTGTACCGTCTGCCAGATGGTAATAGTTTTTAAAAAAAAGGGTGCCCAAGATGAGATGGATCTTTGAGAATGTTTTGAACTTTCTTAAGGCAGCAGGAGCTATAAGGCTCTTCCAAAGAGGGGAGAGGGCAACCCATGATCCTTTGGGCATTGATGTTAACCCTCTCGAGTGCTGTCCACTGTGTAATTGGCAAACCATACAGAGGTGCAGTAAGTTACAATAGTCTCTATGGTGCAGTGGTAGAAGGTCACCAGCAGTTTCTCATTCAGTTGTTGTTTCCTGATAAGTCTCAGGTAGTATAATCTCTGCTGAGCCCTTTTGACCAGTGCTGCAGGTCAGATCCTCTTTTCTGGTAACACCCAGAAACTTAAAACTTTCCACTTGCTCCACTTGTTCTTCATTGATAAGCAGGGCTGGTTGGTTGATCTATTCCTTCTATAGTCCACTATAAGCTCCTTGGTCTTATTGGTGTTGAGGATCAAGTTATTGTCTCCCACGAAAGCAACGGGTCCATCTTATCTTGCTAGGCAGATAGGATTAATAGATAGAATGAAACCCCCAAATAAGGAAGAGATCTTGCTTTGTCTAGGCCTATTTTTAACAGGTATTTTGGACAAATAAAAATGGGTTGAATACTTTTTTTAAAAAGTATTTCCCATAAAAAGGGGTTGAATACTTTTTTTAAAAAAAAATGTCGACCTCCTTACTGTGCAAGAAATATTTGTCACAGATAGGCATGCTAAATTTCAGTTATCGGAATTTTCCCACTGGCTTGTCATTAAAAGGACACAAGAATATAAATGGAATGCAGACAATCATTTGTATATAATAACCAGTTTATTATTGTAAACAACCCAAGATAAATATTGTTGGCTTATGTACTTGTGCACTGGGGTTTTTCAAACTCAATTCCTGCATTCCTAATGGCTGCTGTAGCACAAAGAGAGAGGTCGTTTGAAATAAAAAAGAAGTAAAAAACATTTTTGGTTTTATCCTCCTTTTCCTCCTCCTCTTCTTCTTCCACTTCCTCCTCCTCATTTTATCTTAAAAAAGACCAAATGCCTTTCTCTGCTTTTAGAAAATATGTTGGAGGAATTATGCCTGAAAGCAGATAATGAAAGAATTTACTGCAGAAATTCTCCTGATTCCGTTTAGTTTATGAGAAGTCAGATTGCAAATATTCCATGATGATTGCAAATATTCCATGGAATATTTACCATGGTGAAAACATAATACAAACCCATACACCCAAGTCCATGTTTATATGCTTGTGTGTGTATCAGTTTATTCAAATAGCTTCTGTCATTTTTTCCTTTTTTGCTTTGCTTTTAATTTTAAGATATTTGAGAAATTATATTTATTTTTTCTCATCCAAATATTTCCTGCAAAAAACTGTATGTAATTTTTTAGGAGAGAGAGAGAGAGGGAGGGAAGGAGGAAGGGAGGCAGAGAGGAGGCTTCTGGCATCCAACCATTCATGAACGATTTATTTACTAACAGATAAGCACTCTATACATGCTGAAAATCAACCATAGATCTTTGCTCTTTTCACAAGAGTCAAGCCTAAAGCCTAGCTATAAAAAAAAAAGTTCTGAAATTAATGTATTGCATTTCTTCAAATGGATGTGGCAAGAAGAGATGATTCAAGTCATAAAAAAAAAAGGAAACAAAGAAATAAACAATACTTCCATTAACCTAGTGTAGGAAGTTAAAGCCCACCCCTCTCCTAGAAAAATGAAATATTTTAGGAAATATTAAAAGGGCAGAATATTTCCTCTAAAAGGGAGGCAGAAACTCGCCCCCCTCCCACCTTTGTTAATGGGCCATTAAGGCCTGGGCCAGTCTATTCTACATAACAAAGTTCTACCTTCTTCAGGCAGAGCCATTTAATTACTCTTCATTACATCACCCACCAAGTTTCAACCAAACTTAGCATACAGACAGCCTATAAAACTAGCTATGACCTCTGATAGCAACCAATCAGGATACTCTTCCTGTGTCCCAGAAAGTTCAAAGCCCAGAGAGGGTATAAAACCCAGGATCCCTTCCCCTTTTCTTCACCCAAGATCTCCAAAGCATGTGATCCTGTTAATCAATAAACCTTCTTTCGAAACAACTTCCATGATTCCAGTGACTTTCTTCCCACTTGGAACTGAACCCAGAAGGATATTTCTTCCAACACTAGGTACAAAGGAGAAAGGCGGATGAGAGGGGGAAAACTACTTGTGCATGTCATGTAGTGTAGAAATGTTAATGACACTTTTCTTTGAATCTCAGTTTTGCATGAAGAGCAGGCAAGGAGCAGAACTGGGATTCATATTTTGCAGGCAAATAACCCTAGCTTCAACTCTTTACTTAAGACTTTAGGACCTCTGCATGAAATATTGAAGAACTACCCAGTCAGTGTTGACTAGTTCCTACCTAAGGCAGTGTTGGAATTTCTTGTGTAGTGACTCAGTTTAGGAAATGTTACGTGTTGTGCCATCGGTCAGCCTACAATCTATGTCCTTGTCGACCTTATCACAGTTTCCCAATAACTGTTGGTCCAGGTTCACAGATGCTCCAATTGCTGGTATTAAGTCTTTGTCCAAGTTTTTCTGAGACTGAGACCTCCGTCCGAGCCCCTCAGATGCTCCCTCGAAGAACTGAGCAATGAAATTGGCACCTGAAGTCTTAATGAGATTCCCAGCGGCAAAGACGTAGAGCACAGGGTTAATACTGCTACTCAAGAAGGCTAAGGCTGTGGCTCCTGCTCGCCCACTCTTCCAGGCCTGTCCCAGTCTGTCCGCCATTTTCCCTGAGGTTAGATTGGAAGCCACCTGGATCATGTTGATGATGTGGTAAGGCATCCATAGGACAGCAAAACAGATCACAATGGCCACGATCAGTTTCTCAGTCCGAGCCCCTTTTCTCTTCCGTACCCCTCTGAGGCGGACAAGAATGGCAGAATAGCAGCCAACAATAATGGTGAATGGAATCACAAAGGCTACCACTGTCTCCATGGTGAAGTGGAAGATGGTCAGGCTCTTCCTGGAGTGACAAGGCTCACAAATGAAATGTTTTTGTGAGGGCTCCTGCAAGACTTGACGGAAGAAGAAAGCTGGCAGAGACAATAAAATGGCCCCCGTCCAAATCCCTACCAAGATCTTGACTACCAGATTCTTCTTCCGGATGGCTTGGGAATAATATGGCTGGTTGACTGCCAAGCAGCGATCTGCACTCATGAGGGTGATGATGAAGATGCTAGCAAACATGTTGATGCAACACAGGTAGTACACCCCTTTGCAAATGGCCACGCCAAACAGCCAGTTCTTGAAGATAAGGAAGAGGACGAAGAAGGGTGTCAGGAGAAGAACCACCCCATCTGCCACTGCCAAGTTTAGGACCAGAAGGCAGGTGACTGAGCGATGACTTGGCTTCATTTTCCAAAGGATGCTCCAAATGACAAAGAAGTTCCCAGGTAGCCCAATCAGGGCAGCCAGGAGGAGGAACACAATGCCAGTCACACTGGAGGTTGAGGAGCTCAAGAGGGTGCTGTTTCCTGATGTGAGGCGGCAATCATTGGTGGTTGCATTCAGCTCCCTGTTAAGAAGGAAGGCATGGAGAACTTGAGAGGTGAACAGATTGAGTATGCTTACACCCCACCACCAAAACTTAATTTTGTTCAGCGTGCTGCTTACTAGCAATAGCAATAGCACTTAGACTTATATACCACTTCATAGTGCTTTACAGCTCTCTCTTAAGTGGTTTACAGAGTCAGCATATAGCCCTCCAAAATCTGGGTCCCCATTTTACCGGAAGGATGGAAGGTTGAGACAACCATGAATTGATCAGGATTGAACTCTGGGAAGTGAGAAGAATTAACCTGCAATACTGCATTCTAATCACTGTGCCAACACAGCTCCCCTAGTTGCAATGAGCCAGAAGTGGACTTGAAATTACTGGTCTCACAAGATCTAATCTCTGGAACATGTTGGCCATATTTCTTTCTTGTTGTCTTTGCTTTTCTGATTGCTGCTACCTCTCATATTGGCTTCCTTATCCAAATGGGTGATCTCTGGTTACTTCTTGAATTTTGCCTCCATACCAAAGGTGCTTTTTAAAGAGACAGTTGGACATTCCGGTTTTTCTTTGAAGGCATTTTGCTTCTTATCCAAGAAGAAGTGAAACATCTCCAAAGAAAAGCCAGAAAGTCCAGTTGCCCCTTGAAAAAGCACCTTTGGGACAACTATGACCTGAATGACTGAGAATCTCCATAAAAATTTTCCTCCATACTTTTTGCTTTTTAGGAGTGGTCTGGTGGCTTAGCAGTTAAGACACTAGGCTTGTCATATTGTTGGCAGGAAAGTTGGCAGCCCAGATTCAAGACCAGAGCATCACGAGACAGGATGATCTCCTGTCCTCAGCCCCAACTCCTTTGAAAGTATGCAAATGTGAGTAGATAAGTAGGTACCACTATGGTGGGAAGGTAACAGCTTTCCATGATGTCATACTGGTCACATGGCCACAGAAAGTGCTAGCTCAATGGCTTTGAAATGGAGATAAGCACTGCCCCCTATAATCAGCAATGACTAACAGAGTAAAATCTGCAGGGACTCCTTTATCTTTTTATCTTTTTAAAAATCCTAGCTATTGCATGTCCAGTAGCTGTGAGTTCCACTGCCTCAGAAGGTTCTGTGTGATCAGTAAAGGAGAATATTTGTAGCTTGGAGTTGAAATGAGTGGTCTTTGGTGTTCTCTAAGCTTGGTGATTTTCTTGCAGATGTTTCATTACCCAAACTGGGTAGCATCATCATCATAGTGCTAGTGATTGATGATGGCTTATTATGGATAGTGACTAGCACTGATGATGTTACCTAGTTTGGGTAACGAAGCATCTGAAAGAAAACAACCAAGCTCAGAGAGCTCCAAGGTACTGTGTGAGGCACGGGGATTCTGTTTTATCTTGCTTATTTCTCCGCTAATCATTTGCATTTAACAGCTGTGAACTTGATTTACTAAGGAGGAAAACACCTCACCCATCATTTTCACTCTAATTTTTATCCTATTTTTTTCACTATTTGACTAATGTTTTAAATCACGCTGGAACTCCTTTTTGAAAAATCCCTTTAGTATTCCTACTTAAAGATGCTTCACCAATTTTCTGAGTTTGCTATCCCTTTTGAAACAAAGCAATCAAAATCCAGCAGACTGTTCCACCACTTTAGTATGCATCAAGCAGGAAAGTCCTAACTAACCCTTGTTATTTCATTTTCAAATTCTTCCATAGAAATTTTCCATTGCAGTGGAATGTGGGTCTCCATCTTTCTCCATCTCTCAAGTGAAATGCACAAATAAACGATAATCGGAACTGGAATCTGAAAAAAATACCTTTCTTTCTTTCTTTCTTTCTTTCTTTCTTTCTTTCTTTCTTTCTT